AGTCAAATTTCACCTATAAATTTGTGAATGTAGGCTTAATATACTGAGCTCAAAATTGAATAGAGCAGTCCCAATGGTATCTAAAAAACATTACAGTTACGTTTTGTTTATATTAAAACTTAAAAAATTAAATGCCATCCAAGCCTTTATTTCACTAAGACAATCAAGGGTTGAGTTGAGGGAGTCATTTTCCCAAAGCAGCACATAGATCTGACTATCATAATAATGGAATGACAAACCATACTTCCTAATTATTGACCCAAGGGGCAGCAGATAAAGAAAGAAAAGGAGAGAACCTAACATTGAGAACCAATGAGGACAGGGATATTAATTTCACTCGTACAGGGGTATGTTTCCAAAAACCATCGTTAGGCAACTAAGGTTGCAAATTCTGTCTGTTGTTTCCCAAATCCATCATTTCAACGAACATTCGCAAACTGCGCCACATACATGTCTGTTTGCAGTGACACTTTTAGAGCTGTAGTTAGAAGCAAAGGTCCTGACTGTGTTCTATTCCCAGTTATTCCCCTTTGCCCTATTCCTTACTAGCGTGGAATATTTAAACTCAGAATGATGAAAAAAAAAACATTAAAAACATCTCTCTTACGTTAATTTCTTTACAAAGTATTTTTACTGTTCAGTTTTAGCAATCTTCATATTGACAATTGTGTTCCCTTCATAGTGCACTTTGAAATGATTTATGACATTTTGAACACAGCCGTGGATCATGATGAATGCTATAGGTCAAATAGCATGAAAACAAAAATATATAGGTTACATTAATGGTTTTAATTTATAATAGTTTAAGCTATTCATTTAGAAATGAATATGAACTGTATTGGGCCTATGCTAGAACATTTCTGCAGTGGTTTGAACGTGTCAAAGTTGACTACTAGACTACTTAAATAGACTTCTAAAATTAATTATTTTTTTATTTCCTAATACCTATATAAATTAAAACCATTAAGGTGATGATATAAATATGAGATTAGAATACGTGTTAGCTTTTTGTTTTTTATGTTTTAGAATAGACCATGTTATATTCTCAGTAATATTTGTAAAGGAAACATTGCCCCTATATGTGCTGTTTACATATATTTAAATTAATATGGAAAAGAATTGCATGTTTTTACCAAAACTAATATTTTTTTAATGCCTGTTTTTTAATGCCTGTGTGTTAAACAATCTAATTTGTAAAAAAAAAACATTTTTTTTTCTAAAAAAGTTGTTACTCCACCCTATTTAGAGCGTCATTATGGATGTTTTAAGTTACAAGTAACATGGTTCAAATGATGGATCTGTGACAAAGAAACTACGAATTTGGGAAAAACACTACATACAATCACTACATTGTTCTTTTCCCAAATGATGCATCATACTAGGATAGTTCAGCCATGAGTTATGTCATTGTTTAGGAAACGCACCCCAGTTTAGAACTGTTTGCTCATCCCCCAGTGAGGTGTAGGATTAGGGGTGGGGTTTGGTGGCATAGCACCATTTAAAAATCACATATGAATTAGTACAAATTAGCCACTTTTCTCTCAATATGTAAAATAGTTATTCTTGATCAGGCTTGTGCCTACCAGATCTTAACTTTTTTGAAATGGGCTTTGAGAGTAAAAGTGAGAATACTTTTGACTGTAATAGTCAATGCTAATGAGGAAATATGTTCATGGGTCAAACTTCATAGGTCAGGGCATCAAAGGTGGAACAAATAAACAGCTCAAGTGTTCTATTGTGTTCCAACCCCTAAAATTTTGCGAGTGTCTCAAACCCAAGCCTCTAAGTGATAAAACTGTCACAAAAAAACATGAATACCTTAAAGCCAATCTCTTAAAAAAAGGTACCAGCATCTGTCAACACAAAAAGCAATAACATTAGAGCCCTCTGGATCCTCCTCCTTTTGCAGTTCATTCCTTTAATGTGAAGCGTCCATGCCCTAAACCTGATGCCGCTGATTACTTCTGGGCAATTAAGCACACTGATAGAATGAACGCAGTGTGACTTGGATGCTCGATCTGAAAAGAGGACAAGACAGAGAGGGAGAGAAACAGCGAGAGGCAGCCGAGAGTTATGCGATGTTCTGGCAGAGCTTGCAGTCTGAGCCCATTGTCCAGGCTTGCAAAATCAGCACTACCCCATTCCTCTGGCCCAGTTAAGACGCTCTTTCTGCAAGCTGGCCGGTAGTGCACTCAGCTTCCTCGTTTTTCGTGATTGCCTGACATTTCTTTTCTCTTCTGCTTCCTGCCAGATCTCCTTAATACCTCCGCTTGATAAGGGTCCCTGTAATAACGCAGCTGCCTTTTTATTGATAATGTGTCACAGAATATCTCAGTGTCGTTATCGAACACTCAAAGAGCAGAATGGCATTTTCAGTGGGAAATAAGTAATCGATAGGGAACAGCAAATTAAGTAATAGCATTTTTGCGTCGATGCATATTACAGCTCAGTTAACAGCCTTCAGATCGGCAAGGCTCCATGCGGCAGGATGAACAGATCAATTCATGCACAGAGCTGACGTCTCGCTTTGACAACATAATTAGTGATCATACAGAGAAACGTGTTTGAGGACAATATGAAAACTCTCCCTCAGATATTCAGCTCATGGATCAGAACCATGAAGTGGCAGACAGGGAAACCATGTGATCCTAGGAGGAAAACAACTTTTAAGACAGACGCCGGGTAACTGAGATGATGATGATTTTGGCTGACAGCAAATAGGGTACATCTGTTGGTTCGAAATTTTGTTTTCTACATATTAAATGTGTCTCCGCACTTAACAACTAGAAAAGCAAAACTGGCTTGAAATAGCCTTGGTTAAGAGTTAAAAGTAGCTTTAGATATTAATAGCCTTAGCCTTAGTAAAATAGTTCAGCTAAAATGTTTAATTCTTTCATCATTTATCCACACTTAACTTGTTCCAAATCAGGTTCCATTTTTTTTCTTTTTTAACACAAAAGAAGATATATTAAAGAATGTTGGAAACTAGTAACTGTTGACTTCAATGACAATTTTTGTTTTTCCTATATGGATGTCATATTATACAGATTACTGGTTTCTTCAAAATATCTTCTGCACACAAAAAGTATTCATTCATTCTTTTATTTTATTTTCAGCTTAGTCCCTTCATTAAACTGGGATCGCCACAGGTGAATGAACCAACTTATCCAGCATATGTTTTACGCAGCGGATGCCCCTCCAGCTGCAACCCATCACTGGGAAACATCCATACACACTCATTCGCACACGTACATACACTACGGACAATTTAGCCAACCCAATTCACCTGTACCACATGTCTTTGGACTTGTGGGGGAAACCTGAGCACCCAGAGGAAACCCACACCAACAAAGGTAGAACATGCAAACTCCACACTGAAATGCTAGCTGACCCAGCCGAGGCTCGAACCAGTGACCTTCTTGCTGTGAGGCGATCGTGCTACCCACTGTGCTACCATGTCACCAAATAACAATGTAATAAATAAAAAATATAATCAGACTGGTTTGGAACAAGTCAAGGGTGGGTAAATGATAACTTAAGTTTTCAATTTTTGGGGTGAACTATCCCTTTAGACACTTCACAAACTACATCCATACACACTCATACACTACGGACAATTTATCCTACCCAAATCACCTGTACCGCATGTCTTTGGATTGTGGGGGAAATTAGAGCACCCGAAGGAAACCCACATGAACGTGGGGAGAACATGCAAACTCCACAAAGAAACAGCAACTGATACAGCGAAGGCTTGAACCAGCGACCTTCTTGCTGTGAGGCGACAGCATGACCTACTGCGCCACAGCGTCGCCCACCTTAATAACTGTAATTAGTAATTTTTGGGTGAAACCCCTGTAATGTATTTAACTTAGATTATGCAATCATAGCAGGTTTGAACTTATATGAATTTTATCCAATTCCATTTATTTTATTATTCTGCTTTCAACCCACATTAAATTTTTTTGTTACTAATTTTTAATTGCAGGCTTTTTATGGTCACATGCATGTTTTATTATTATTTTTACGAAATATCTGTGCAATAAGCACAATAAAATACAATCAGATTCAGGTAGTCTTTAACACAAAACAACAGGGTGATCCAGAATCAATGAAATGTAGATGTGCCCATATTGCTGATATGATAATGTGGTCACATTCATTTTGATGGTCCATTTGTACTGGCAAAGTTTCTTTAAGTCAGTTAAATGTCTGTTTAAGGAGTTGAATGTCTGTTGAAAGTAAAGTGTTACCTAAATGTTTGAATTTATGCAATTATGTATAATTTTTTTATATTTATTATTATTATTATTTCTTTTTTACAAAAACATTGTTGTGAAAACGTTGCACACAGAAGCAGATTAAACCTTACATCAGGACCTATTCAGAGCACCCAATTAATACTTGGAAGGGTTTCCACTGAGTTTGCCTTGGTTAGACCTGTAAGCAAATAAATGAAATAATCAAAATGATTAAGGCACTAAAATGTGGGCAAAACTAACGCAAATCTATCCATCTTTACACTGCAACACTAACAATTCCCAAAGACAGTTTTCATCAATTTTAATTCACCTCTGCGTCTTGACATCACATACATAATATTAAATCCGTGTCTCTTGGTTTTCTGAATTGGATGCATAATATTCAAGGGTGTTTTTACCTCAACCATTGACCCAATGATGCCTAAATCACTTTTATATTTTAAACCCATGTCTGTGTGACCTGTCTCATCCTCCACCGTGTATTTGGATAACTGGTGTTGCGCTTAATAATGAATGTGATGAACATCTGCGCCCTGGTCGATTACCTGCAGCTTTGGCCAACCAGACGCGCGCGCCCAACATCCCTGAAGTGCAGAAGCAGCGGCGCGCTCGCGAGTGGACGCGCGTGTCACTCTCTCTCTCTCCGCATTTCAGAGGCGTTTTTGTGAAGTTTAAGCCCAGCTCGTTGGAAACCATGTCTTTGAACACTATGAAGAAGAGACTTTGCCAATAAATGTTTTTAAAAATCGCTTGACTGGAGCAAGTCTGTGTGAAGTTCACTCCATCCTCGACTCAAGGGAAACACGAGGATGCGCGCGACACTCAGGATCCTTTGTGCTTTGACTTTTCTGGTCTCGTGCAGCCGTGGCGCGAGAGTTGTGAGCGGTAAGTGTTTATATATTTGGTTTAAAGCCATATGGTATCACTCATTTGTGATATCTTAGGATAAAATTATTGTGTTAAAATAATCTGAGGTAAAAGTGAGGCGTTTGACTCTCTTATGTGTTTAAAGTTTAAAGTTTAAAGGGATAGTTAGCTTAAAAACATATTTTTGTACAATTTATCCATATTTGAGTCACGGCTGAGATGAGGTTGGTAAGAATTAGATTCTCTGCCCCCTTAAACTTTGACAGTGTGAAAAAAGTAATTCTAAGTCAATGGAAACGTTAACGAGGCTTCATTATTGAGGTAACCTAAAATTGGTTTTATATTCACATATTCGTACATTCTCCTTAATAATATAATTTCAGAAAATTATTCTTTGCAAATTCTCTATAGCCAAATCATATTAGCAGTCAATGACTATCAAAATACAGTCAATTAAACAGTGCTAATGTTGTAATCTTTTGAAGTCATATTTACATGTGATTTCATCCCGAATATTCAAAGTACCATGGTAAACAGTATGTCACTGAATGTGCGAATTTAAAACCAGTTTTACCTCAATGAATTTATTTGGTATTTCGTTTGGTATAGTATATATCATTATATTATTTATTATATTATATATATATAACTTTGTGTTCCAAAAAATACAGGTTTGTAAAAGCATGAGGAAAATGTAAATAAACAGTAGACTGTCCCTTTAGACCCATGGGGGCACTAAGACACCAGGAGTCATCATCAAAATTATGAATATGTTGTATTTGCTTTCAGGAACTTTGATAAAATCGTTTAATAAAAATGTCAGATTTGTATAATAAAAAAATGCAAATAACTGCTGTACATTGAACAAACTCTCTGTTTTTATTTAAGACTGCAAAACATAAAGCACATCAACTACCTTATTTATGGAAATATTTCTCTTAAACATTGTTAAAATTCTTATTTCAACTTATTTTTCTCCTACCCAAAGATGATTTGAAGAGTTCAGATGCAGAAACATGCCATGAAAATAACCTATTCTTTTCCATACAAGTGAAAAAACTGAACATGCAAACACTTTGGGAAAAGGGGAAAATGCTAATTTCAGAAGAAAATTTCAGAATGCACTTTGAAGTTTTTGCATCTGAACTCTTCATTTGTCCTGATGATCATGTCAGTTCATCTCTCTTGATGATGAAGCGTGAATGCTGCATAACTATGGGAGAGACAATCAAGTGAACAGGAAAAAATACAGATATGTGTGTAAACTGAATAGATGCATCGAGGGAAATCGTGCGAGCAGTTTTTTATGATGAGATCAGGGTTTATTGAAGTTTAATACAAAGTGGCAGTTTTGGATAGCGGAATTGCCGGAATATTCCCTGCTGGAAGGAGGATGGCACTATAAAACATACAGGAATTGAGGAAGAAAGCTAAGGAAGCTGGTTGAGAAAATGCTGAGTCCAGTCTTCCCCCAGTTAAACCCAGCCCATTACTGGGCTTAAATTGATGATATAGCAGATCTGGACCAAGCAATTATTTAAAGTACCTCCCGGGCAGAGAGCTAATGTTATTATTAGACTTTTAACAGTCTGTGTATTAATCACAGTTCTCTTCGTTGGGCCCATCAGTGCATCTTAAGTGTTTTCTATTATAGAAATGCTTTGTTTATGATTTCTTTTGAATAATAATTCAATTTATTTCCTCCTCTTAGCCTCTTTCAAAATGAGCTTCCTTTAAAAATCCAAATCAATCTGTCAGTCTAATAGGATATACACACACACTCATACATAGTCAAATATATACTTTTATCTGTCTGTCCAACAGAATAAATACACATATGCATACTGTATATCAATCGAAATACAGTATAATTATTATATATATATATATATATATATATATAGACTGATATAATTATATCTATATATAATGTATATTAATATATATATTATATATAGACAGATAATCATATATAAACAACAATGTATATATTTGCTTAAATATGTATTTATAACCCCAATTTTGGTAAAATGCTCTAAAATTTAAAAACATTTTACAAAAACAGCCCAGCTTTTTTTTTTTGCAATTAGGGTATTTATGTGCATATATAAAAACAAATGTGAAGTAGTCAACATCTGAAGTGAATCTTTAATTAAAGTTGGCCCAAAACTATTGATCAACACCATTTTATTGTAACAATTGTTGGGCAAATTTGAATAACCTTCCTAAATAATGTTTATTTCATTATATATATTATTTCATACAGCAGATAGATCAAGAATATGAATAAATTTGATTGTATCTATATGTTTTCTATCCATCCATCTATCCATCCTTCATTTATCTATCTAGTCTGTCTGTCGTCACCTTAAAATTATAAGGTTCTATCTGACATTTTTGTCAAAACTGATTTATTGAAATATTCTTATTAAATGACAACATATTTACATTATGGGATGTTTTTTTATAAGTTGTTTACATTTTAAGATTTTTAATTTAAAAAACAAATTGCTATATGGAATGCAAAACTTTGAAGCTCAACATCTCAAAATCATTCAAAACGCAGATAGAACCTTATAATTCCAAGGTGACGCTGTATAAATATATCACTATTTATTTATGTAAACATCCATCAGTCAATCAGAACAAATATTGTACAGAACAATAAAATGGGTAAAATTACCATGTGAATTTTGTCTCTCCAGGTCAGACAGTGTGTCAGGGCAACCCTGAACACCCGTGCTATAAGATTGCTTACTTCAAAGACGTGTCGAGTCGTGTTGCGTTCTGGGAGGCTCTGCAGGCATGTGAAATGGACGGCGGTTCGCTGCTGAGCATTGAGAACACAGCCGAGCAGAAGCACATTGAACACCTTCTGCGAGAGCTCAGCGTCTCCTCCTCGACTGGTCCTGCCAGCATTACAGACGGAGACTTCTGGATCGGCCTGACCCGTGAGGAGGGTGATAATGCACAGGAGCCCGGCGCCTTCGCCTCCTGTCCCAATCTGTACAGGTGGACTGATGGAAGTGTCTCGCTGTTCAGGTGAGATGAGGAGTTTCACACTGCCAGTCTAAAGATTAGAATCAGAACATTTTTTCTTTTGTTTTGAAGAGAAGCCTATATTATTACAATTTTATTTTATAACTGTTTTCTTATTGAATGCAGTGTAACATTTAATTTAATGCTGTGATTCAAAACTGAATTTTCAGCTTAATTTCTCTAGTTTCAGTGTCACATGATTCTTCAGAAATATTTATAATTGTAATATTGTAATATGCTTATTTGCTGTTTTATTATTGTTATTTTCAACTATTAACAGTCATTAATAATCAGTCTTATATTTTCTTAAAAGCCTAAATTACTATTTTCCATTTAAAATCTGGGTAAACAGTACTACAGACCTTTATATAATTAATCAAATATTTAACATATTTAAATATATTTAATCCATGGAAATGTCTATTTATGTTTATATGATATATGACAAGAAAAAGAATATATATATATATAAATATTATAGGTGGGCATAGATTATCACGGAATTAATCTAGATTAAAATGGCTCATTTGAGTTCTGCTAAAGACATTCAGAATATGTCTGCTACCCAAATAATAAGTCTTTGAGAACAGGTTTCTCAAGCCAGGTAGCGCATTAGACCAGGGACTCATCTCCTGTTTCCAAAATGCATCACAAATTGCTTGAGAAACTGTTCTAATATGATAATTGTTGATGAAAATAAATTATGTACAATAAGATGTACTTGTGTTTACTAACTGTTTATTCAATTAAACATAAATATTGAACTGTAGGCCTACATAAGCTGAAAACAGCGATTTTTGATCACCCTAATCTGACTAAAGTCAAAACTGATCTAAACAAAAATGGAATTAAGACATGTGGAGTATACATTATTAGTAGTATTATTGAAGTAAACGACGCGTTCAGTAAACACCGTCGTAGGACTTTTCGCCATATTTTCCTTCAAGATCCACACATGCAGCTGTCATTAAAGGACCACGCACGCACGAATGCACGCACACACACACACACACACACACACACACACACACACACACACACACACACACACACACACACACACACACACACACACACACACACACACACACACACACACACACACATCACAAAACGCGGAAGTTTTCTTTCTTTACATTTTTGTCAGACGGCTCACCGGTCAGGTATACATCCGCGCTAAAATATCAAGGTGAAAATCACCAAAGCTTGCGTAGAATAGACCCATTTCCCAACCCAACTTTGAGAATAGATTAACAGTGATTTTTTTTATCGATATCGATAAAGAGTCTCGCGTTAACGCAGCACGTTAACGCAGATAATGGCCCACCACTAATATATATTTATATATATATATATATATATATATATATATATGAATGAGGGATGCAGAAATCAGTATCACCAATAGTTAGTTTACGGGTTTACAAGCAGAGGAAGATGGATTTTAACTTCTTATGCATCCAAACTTCAAAATGTGCTTTATGCAATGTCAAAGTTATATAAACCTTCATTAGAATCGGTACTCTGTATCGGCCGATCCCCATGACGAGGAATCGGTACTCGTTAAAAATAAATCAATATATCGGTACTCGGATATCGGCCCCAAAAATCCTGATTGAAGCATCCCTAATATATATTTATGGAGCGACCTAAGAGTTTTTAACACTGATAATAGTAATCCTGATTGAGCATTTTATACTACTTTTATTCTAATTTAATCTGATTTTTTAAAAGACACTGAAGACTGGAGAATGCTAATAAAATCAGATTTAAATAACATGATGAAATCTAAGTTTTTGTTGTATTTTTGATCAATTATATGAAGATTTGGTAAACAAAAAATGCTTTTATTAAAACCATGAAAAAAATACTGATCCTAAACCAGTAGTGTGCATCAGGTTACGTATTTTGCTGCCAGTGACTAAAAATTAGGACTGCTGTTTTTCAGAAACTGGTATGCTGATGAACCATCCTGCGGAGGAGAAGCGTGTGTGGTTATGTATCACCAGCCTACAGCTCTGGCCGGGCCTGGAGGACCGTATCTCTACCAGTGGAACGACGACAGGTGCAATATGAAGCACAATTTCATCTGCAAGTATGAACCAGGTACTGTAATATTACTGTAAAAACTGACCCGATTACCCAGATTCACACTGTGATTGTGGTTTTAGCTTACAGTGATTATTGTGTTGTTCTGTGCAGAAAGTCATCTGGTTAAAGTGCAGAGTGATAGGCCTGGAGGGCATGATGTTGGTAAGCAGCCAGGCGCCAAAGCAGTCATCGTTTGACTTGAAGAGTGACAGATGTGTTGTTGACACTAATCTGTCAATTTTTCCAGATCTTTCCACTGAAGATAAAGAGGACAGGAGAACACCACCCACTGATGAGGATGAGAGCCCTCGACTTATAATAGCCGGGCCTTCAAGTAACATTACATTTATAATTCTTAAAGGAATATTTGGGGTTCAGTACAAGTAAAGAATTACTGATAAAAGGTGTGTCATATATATAAACATACAGTGCTCAGCATAATTGAGTACACCCCATTTTGAAAATGAATATTTTTATCCATTTCTCAGTGAATAAGGGTAATATATATTGGTGCATTCAAACATAACAGATTTATTAAACATATACAGTTGAAGTCAGAATTATTAGCCCCCTCTAAATTATTAGCCCCCTGTAAATTGTTTTCCCCTATTTTCTGTTTAACGGAGAGAAGACTTTTTTAACACATTCTGAACATAATAGTTTTAATAAAAACTCATTTCTAATGACTGATTTATTTTATCTTTGCCGTGATAACAGTAAATAATATTTGACTAGATATATTTTAAGACACTTCTATACAGCTTAAAGTGACATTTAAAGGCTTAACTAGGTTAATTAGGTTAACTAGGCAGGTTAGGGTAATTAGGCAAGTTATTGTATAACGATGGATTGTTCTGTAGATTATCGGAAAAAAATTGCTTAATACTTTAGTCCCTAAAATAATAAAAAAAAAATTAAAAACTGCTTTTATTCTATCTAAATTAAAACAAATAAGACTTTCTCCAGAAGAAAAAATATTATCAGACATACTGTGAAAATTCATTTGGAAAAAAAAAAATCCCCCAAAAAAATCTAAGTGGGGCTAATAATTCTGACCTCAACTGTATATTTATTAAAATAATATTTTAGTCACAAAACATCTTTAGAAATGGAAAGATAATACAATTAAATAAATAATTAAACAATTCAACAAAATGTTATATATTTTTTTGTTTCTCTTGATTTTTGCTATTTTTTAAACTAATGTACTGTATATGCACAAATATAATATTGTAAAGCATCCTATGGAAAATCTTAATTTAAATGAGAGATTTGTGAGGGGTGTACTCTTATATGCTCAGTACTGTATTTATAAATGTGGTTATTTTTATATCTTGGGGATTTTCTTTTTGACAGTAAAACAAGGATTTCTAAAGACTGGAGTAATACTGATAAAATTCAGCTTTAAATCATAGCAATAAATAATATTTTTAAATATATTATTGCGTATATTGTGTTATTTTAAATAGATTTTTTTTGTCATTTATACGTATATTTTTTGTTCATCAAATACATCAAGCCTTGAGAACGCGAGTCTTAATTAATAATATTTTTATAATTTAATATTTTAATAATTCTACATATTTTTTCCAGACCTAAAACTGAAGCAAAAATTTATTTTTTATTTTGATAAAGGTAAACTTTTCTATTCTTTTTTTCCAATTTTTACAGAATTTCTGTACGACTTTCTTTTTCCTTCCACAAGTTAAAATATTTTTGGTTAAGAAAGGCAATTTTTTATATTAGAATTTAATATTTAATATAAATATGAATTAATATTAATATAAAAGTATATATGTAATTATAATAAAAATATGAAGATAAATAGATTTAATTATATGTTAATTATCTTAATTGAAGGGACTAAGCCGAAGAAAAATGAATGATTGAATGTATGAATAAACAAATATAAAATAAAGGATCTAAATGGATTTTGCCGGTAATTTGGACGTAATGTCATCAGTAGTAAATCTAAATTTTTCTTGTTTTACTAAAAAGGCAATGGCTGACTGAAAATAAATTAACAATACTACTACTAATAATAATAATCAATAACAATACTAATACTACTAATACAACTTCTAATAATAATAATAATTATAAATGAACAGTCAACAATAAACGCTAAATACTGTTCATCCGCTTTTATTTGCACTGAATCCAGAATATTCCTCCAACTCAAAACAAATGCCTATAAGCTTACGAAAGTCAAAATGTATCTGTTTCTTTCACAGGTATGCTGCTAATCTACGTGATTATCCCTACCATCCCTCTCCTCTTGCTGATCCTGGTGGCTTCAGGGACGTGCTGTTTCCAGATGTTGAGCAAGAGGTGAGCCATTAAGATCAAATCACTGTAAATGCTGTCAGACTAATGCTAATGTGCTGCCCTGTTATGCACAGTATCATCCAAACACTGCGGCACATCAGGATGCCGGAGTCTCACCAGCAGCTTTAGACACTAACAGCCTTCGCATCTTGATTAATCAGGTTTTCTAGATCTGACACGGTTACCCTCATGGTTTACCGTGATTAATTAGATTCAGCTGTTTATAACTGTGCCCGGCAAAACAGCTTAACCCGTGCTAATCACCATCAACACACTTATTATAGCTTGCGTTTGGTATGTTTGAAGGGGCCGCCTCATGTCTATTGGTGTTCTGATCGATAAGCTATTGGTCACTATTAAAGAAAAATTGGCAAGCCATTATACCCTAAATGGTTCCAGTGTCTTAAATTGCATTTTTAATATTAAATTTGAATAAATTAGAGAAGCCACAGTTTCTTCACACAATGCTTTATAACATTTAGTTTGGGAGATGAATTCACGCTATTAACTACCTATTATCTGTGGCTTTAGACTTAAATAAACATTTAATTTGTTGCTTATAATAGTTAGTTTGGTACTGTTAAGTTTAGACGTAAGGTACGATTAAGAGATCTGAAATATGTTCATGTGAAATAAGGCATGAAATCAATACTAATGAACTCCCAACAGTCTATTAATATTCTGCAAATAAGCAAGTAGTTAATAGTGTTCCCAACCGAAGATGTCACTAAATTGTGGTAAAGAATTAGTTCACACTAAAATCCAAATTATATCTAGATATAAAATATAGACAGAATATGGGTTAAGGGTGAGTAAATTATGGGGATTACCCTAAAATGTTCCTAGGTTACTCGTCATAATTGCATTTTTACTATTTATTAATGAATTACTAGCTTAATTTATTTTTACAGTCCTCTGAATGCCATTAAAGGAATAGTTCACCCAAAAATGAAATTAAACTCATAAACTTCACTCTCAAGCCATCCTACATCCTTTTTTTCTGTTAGATGATCAGTTGGAATTGTTTTAAATTTTATCTTGGCTTTTCCATGGTGTGTAATGGTGTTAGGGGCCCTTTTTTTAAGCTTCTAAAAGCGCACATAATACAGTCATAAAACTAACCCATACACAAACAGGGGATTAACACACATCTTAAATGGATCAATGTGTTTTTATAACAAAAACAGACATTAGAAACTCAAATCTTTGACTTCCTGTGGCTGCTGAATGTGCATTCTCAACAACTTCATGGCTGATCTTTGATTCAGTTTATAATGTAAGAAACATTCATAGCGGAAGCTCCGGGTGTAGATGCATCTCACAGGAATGCAACAGTTTAAGAGTAATATGTTGTATAAAGTTTTACGGTAATGCCAAACCAACTACTACTTTCTTGCTCATTGTCATCTGTGGTAAACAAACTGTGGCGTGAATGGATCCTGTGAGGTGCACCTATTCTTGGAACTTCTGATACGTATGGATCCCTTGGTGATTTTCACTAGTCAAATAAATTTTATTAAACTATTAGAATTACCAAATTTATTTATAACCCACAGAAGATAAAAATAGTTAATACTTACATAAAAAAACAATAACATGCCTTTCATCATCAGCCTTTCCATTTTTTTTCTTAGGATTGGTGTGTTTACATTAGATTAAAAACACAGCAATAGCGTCATCTGCATTTTATAGCACTAGGTTAAAATTTCTGACACCTTTATGGCAATTAAATACATTAAAAATAACTATACAGGCCACAACAGAACATTAAGGATGATCTCTGAATGGCGCTCTCCAAAATCAAACCAAGAATAGATTTCTATTCTTAGGCTGAAAACGTTGCGCTCTCTTTAGGTGAGGTTAATATTAAATTAAATAAGTTAATAAATTACTATAAAATTTTTATGATATTAGACTGTTGCACTTTTTTGTTTTATCAATATGCTTGTGTTTATATACTAGGCCTATTGTTGTGTGCTCAACATTTGTATATTTATAACCACCTACAAGAAATGTGGGGGTCGCAAGTTACTGGCATCGTTATTTTGGGGGTCACGAGCTAAAAAGTTTGGGAACCTCTGGTCTAGAGCATGCAATCAGCAGCCACTGGAAGTCAGTGATTTGAGTTTATAATTAACAAAAATGTTAGTTTTTTATCATGGATTTGTGTGCTTTGGGATGCTTCGAAAATATTTTTACTCTACCCAAGACGTTTATACAGAATGGAAGAGCCTCAATAAAATTTATCTGATAGAAGAAAGTTATATACACTGAGGATGGTACTATTCGGTGTACTATTCCTTTAATAGAAATTAGAGGGCTCAAATAATTAATTAAGCTCTTTAATTTATTTATTAACAAATATGAGGAGGTAACACTAGAAACATTTTAGGGTAATCCAGTTTTCAGTACATTTTTTCTTGTTTAATTCATTAAGAATAATATAGTTAAACAGTTTTTTTGCTGTGCCAAAGAAAAATTTTGGCAGGGCAAGTGAAACAACTATCACAAAAATATTGCTGTCGCAATATTTCCAATGGTAAAGTGTTAATATTTCTCTAAAGTATATTGATATTACACCATCATGACAACACTTATGCACTCTCACTTCTGATAAAGTCAATTCATCTTTCCAGAATAAAAGTATTCATGTTAGAAAAATTGCTGATTAATCATGTTGTATGATTTAAAAAAATCAGTATTGACCAATATATTGCTTCCAGTAATCAATGATCTGGCCCGGAAAATCCTGATCGGAGCACCATTAATTATGTCACATGCATTAAAGACAGAATCCAAGGGGGATTGATCCAGATCAGCAGTGAATGGCTTTACAGAACTGCTGAAGCAACACAGTGCACCAAACGCACAGTTCATTTTTCTTTAACCCTCGGCCCGTGCTTTGGCAAGACATTATATAGTGTCTTATTTGTGTAATTTATGATGTTTATACGGCCTGCGCTCCTCAGAGTGATGTCTTTTTAACATATTTCCGATCACTGGGGCAGACGGGGATCCTCAGACAATGCATTTAATCACTGCCAATGACTGATGCGCTCTATTCCGTAAAAGGCTTCCTGGAGCGCGTTCAAATATTCTAGATAAACGTCTTAACTCTTTACCAGATGATGCTTCTGTGTTTTACGATGTTTGCCACTTGTTCTTGAGATTGAATGACGTCTTGGAGCGTGAAAGCAGGAGGCGAGACATGTAACAGCTGCTTTGCTTCGTCTGCTCTTTGCAAATACTTTTAAATGTCCTGTCGTGTTTATATATATGCAGTATGGGGATAGAAGACTTGACATGTTAAACAACTAATTATGAAAGTCTGAAGCATAGACTGAAGTGGCGGAATTAGGAAATATTTATTTCTGCCGCTATGTTAAAAGATCTTTATGGATTAGCTTCCTAAAATATTTAATTCGTATGTGTATAACAAAATCTTTGGATATGGGAAATTTTTTATATTGTAAAAAGTCTGGGACAGGATCCACGTACAGCTTTATTAAACAGAATAGTCAGACAGAAATGGGCAAAACAGGAGCAAACTGGAGCATGCAGGCGATCCAAAGCATAATTAGTAAAGCAGGTGAATGGTCGGGACAGGTGGCAAAACAACAAAACAATAAGCAATGCAAAGTTCAAAAACACGGTGGGCAAGACAAGTATAGGGATGGCTGATATGAAACTGACATTTTGACACAAATGTTTTGAACCACTGCACCGAAGCATGATCCAAACCACCCAGGTCATGTGAGTAAAGTGATTCAAAACATTTGTCATTTCAGAAGCATTTCAAGACCTGGCAAATCTGCGTTTGACTGACAGTGTCGGAAAAAAAAACTCTATCTCATGTAGCCTAGTGGACCGTGCATGTGCACAGAGTAACTGTGCTGCAAATGTCTCGAGTTTGAATCCCTACTTGTACAAATACTCTTAAAGTATGACTTGATGTATTTTAATAATGTTACTTTTCTATTACCAAAACAAGACATTTTATTTACAAATGTTTTTACGGATGTCAGACCAATGTTAAAACAAAACATCTTAAAAGAACAGAGCATTTAACATCTATAGCTGCATCACTCTTGGAATGAACCCATTATTTCTGCATGCCATTATGAAATCTCAACTCTACAACGAGGGCTTTAATACCTTAATTTGCATATCTGTTTACTTGCTGAAGCTGTTCTAGAGCAAAAACAAAAAACAAAAAAAACTGTAGAGACAGGTTTCGAAACGTTTCGAAGCTTCGACACATTTGCTTTGACTGTTTCAGTGATTCATAAAGCCTCACTTTGCCCCACCACTAGACAAGGAAATGCTTTGAAATGCCCTCTTACAGATAAACAAGACTCAGCAAGTAAATTGTATAAATAGTTCTGGTCATTAGTCCTTACGAGCATCAGCTGTGTGTGTAATCAGGGAATAAACTGGAAATGGTGTGTGAGGTGAATGATGGGATTTGTAGTTCTCTAGTGATCTGCAACTGTTAGATTACTGGTGATAGTGCAATTATATTATATAATTTAATAAAATATAAAGTAATATTAATAAAAACAAATTATATATTATATAAAATGTGTAAATATATTATAAAAAATATAGAGAACTATAAATCCTATCATTTACCTCACACACACCAGTTCCAGTTCTCTCCGATTACACACACAGCTGATGCTAGTAAGGACTAATGGCCAGCACTATTTATACACTTCAGTTTGACATATACTTTGCTATATACTTTGACATACACACACACACACACACACACACACACACACACACACACACACACACACACACACACACACACACACACACACACACACACACACACACACACACAAAAATTGTTATTACTAACAATGATTAAGCTATTATTAAATAGTTTATATAGTAAGTATATATGCTATGGAAAAAAGTAAACAACCAAATAAAAAAATCCTCAGTTTCTCCGTAATTATCAGGTATAGATTTAAGTAAAATGTCAAATTTAAAATAGAAAATTAAAAAAGTAATAAATATTTCAATTAGTTGTGATTCAAATGTGGGTTATTTCACCATAATGAATACAAAAATGTCAGAAAACATGTAAGATTTTTGTAATTTTATGCAAAAAAGGCTCTTAAGCACAAAGCTAAAAATGTATTACCCAATATTTCCAAAAGTGTTAATATATTTATTCATTCATTCATTCATTTAGCTTCATTCAAGGTCTAAAAGCATGCCATTTTTTAGTTATTTTAATATTTTCTCATTGCTTTTTGTATTTACAGTTGTGTAAACAGTAAATTCAGAGAAAATTACCATTTTGCAGTGACCTTCCATTTACAAACAGTACATAAAAGTGTAAAGATAACTTTATAATGTTTTTAATCACATCATTCTACACTTTTATTTTAAACCAGCAAACCACGGACCAAAACTAGCGTCAACCAATCAACTCTCTGGATCTCCAAGACGCCAAAGATAGACAGTGGCATGGAGGTCTAATTCCCCATTCGTCTGCACCTTCCTGCTTGCAACATGTTTATCAAGTTGTAAGTCCAAACAAGAAAACAAGTGAAGTTGACACAGGTATCAGATTTCAGTACAGATGTCAGTTCACTTCCACTGACCTGCATTTCACGTGTCCTGTCAGACAGTCAAATACTAATTGGCACCAAACACAGTGGGCAATTAAATTACAGTAATTAAAGCAAGTACAAGTGGGAGCCACATAAAAAGAGGAATTAACAGTTCCTTCTAAACCAGAGCCTGCGACACAGTAAAAAAAAAAAAAAAAAAAATCACTAAAAGAGATTAAAAAAACCTTTAAGAGGTTTTTGAGGGATTGGATTAAATTGCGTCTTTATTCAAGACATGAAAGGCATATTTAATCTCTCATATTACAGTATGATGCATTGCCAATGATGTATAGTTATGTGCATACGATAATTTCATGGCATCAGATTTATTTTAAAATGTATGCGATCATATCTTAAATTACGGAACGATCGGCTTTGCTCGGCAGCTCACAAAACAGAGGAGTTCATTTCAAAGTGTACATATTTTTTGTATGACGAGAAGCTGCTTTAAGCTGCAACTGTTGTGTATGCAGTTTATTTATTTTCTTTGCATGTGAATATTTGACTTCCTATTGCAATAGTGCATATAGAAAATATCATTGCGTAGTAGTATTAAACTGGTTTGCATCTGTGACATTGTAACAGATACCGAAATTAGTCAGTTATTCCTCTGGTTGTACATTAGGATGCGTTTCTGTGAATTGGGGTAACACTGTGTGTGTGTGTGTGTCTGGATTTAAACATGTGCCGTTAATATTTTTTTATATTTTTGAGACAGGAATTGGACATGTATAAATGGATTAAAATATTTAATTGTGGAAATATTTTTGTGTTTTTTTATGGCTATAAATTATTGACTGGACATTTATTTAAAAATATGCTTTGTTTTTCCATCGGTTATCATTAAACAACTCATAATGTGATTAGCAGATATTGAACACAAACAATAATCACATTCAAGGAGTTTATGTCTATAATCCTTATCTCTGCTATGTAAAATCATTAGACTTTACTCACACAAATACAAATGGTGCAGTTGCCAAAGGGAAATCTGTAGATTGGATTTGATACAGTTGGTATATGATAAATGGAGTTTATAAATATAGCAGGCTGTTTCCACCACAGGATAAAAAAAGATGAAAAAGGACAAATCTTAGTCTCAGTTGATGTTGAGTGTTAAACTACTGCAACTATTTCTGCAACTGCTAGTAGGCTCTTTCTCAGTTCTGATTTTTTTAGAGGATGCTCTTCCAGCTGCAACACAGCACTGGGAAACACCCAGTATGGAAACCTTATATACCTGCTAGACATGTGGATGATCCCGTCCCATACAGCTGCCATTGCACGGTTTAAAGATACTTTGTAGTGGGCAATTTAACATAATTGCCTCTAGGAGTCGCCAATGGAAATAAAACAAACGCACAAGAAATGCACGTACACCAGACTTGAAGTTGTTGTGGACCAATGCACATTCTCACGTTCATTTCATCGTTAGTAAATCCAAACGTGAGCGTGAAATCTGGCATACGCAGCGTTAACACATGAGGCCCAGATATCCGCCTTAAATGGCAACACATTGCTTAACACACACAGGATGTATACAGCAATACACAAATATCTTTACATATGAAAAAGAATTAAAGAATTTCAAAATTAACAAATGAAATTAAATATGTAGGCTAATGTATGTCTTAGGTGGAGTGAGTTTCCACCAATAGCTTACTCCACAAAAGTAAAGGAGTAAAGTAATGAGTAAAAGTAAAGAGAAAGTAATGAGGCCGAATAGATGAGGCTAATTTTTGATCGTTGCACTGCAGATGGTCTGTTTAACTGTTTTCTCGCTAGTGAAGCATTTCGTTTATCCACTTACAAAGTCCACCATGTAAAAAGCAAATGCGCCCTGACGCGACGCAACACTCTGAATGGGAATGGGAGATGAGACTGATTGGTTGAATGCACGTTATCCTCAAAACACAGCCAGAACTCATTAAGAGATTAAGCACAGCCCTGTTAGTCCATGCACCAGGACGCAAACTGCATTTTTTGATTCTTTAAATAGCAAAAGTGGATTTGGACATTCCCTTAATGTGTTGCGACATGTGCTTCAGACTTTGCACTTAGATATGTGTAAAATAGAGCCCTTTGTTTTTACAATAGAGCCCTTTGTTTTTAAGTGCAGCTTTTTTCTCACAACTGCAAGTTCATAACTTTTTATCAGAATTAATGATGTCATTAAAAAGTCTTTCAAGTAGCTGGACTTTAATGTATCCCTAAACATGCTTTATGATTTGTTATTTATCACAGACCTAAGAAATATAGGTTCTTATCAAAAAACAACTTTTAAAATTGAATAAGCAGATGCAGAATATCAATATTATTCTTATGGAAATCATCATTTTCATCCTTATCTCTTCCCCTGAAACACTTTCTTTTGAAAAAACAAAAAGATTTTAGATCCACAAATCAAATGTACAGATTTCCCACTGGCAATTGCACCATTTATATTTGTTTATGAGAAACACAGTTGCGGCTGTGAATTTAAATAGACCCAGAGATCAGAAAGCATTCAGGGGGTCCAGCTGGCAGGCAGAGTTAGAGCCAGACATAAGACAAATGAACTGGACCGCATTAACACCGAAAAGATGTGGTACTTTGTATGCGATTTACCCTGGTCTACAATTAGTGACAGCATAGACTTTAAAGCACACTGCTAATTACGGAGCCAATTAAACTAATCAGTCCTCTGCTTCGACAGGAGAACTGGCGTCACACACTCAGGATCTGGTAATTATAGATATGACTGTAATCACTACTCTGGAGGCACAGGGTAGAATTAAAGAAACAAACCCTTTCCCATCTGGAGAGGGGGGTGATTTTAGCCTATTAGAGACACACAACACAAGCGTCGCATATTCTCCACCCGAACAAGATCCAAACCGCTCCAGTACAGTTGAATGCAGTTTATGATGGAAATGCGGAGTTTGCGTGCTATTGGAAAAATCTGACATTGCGATATTTTGTCTTGCTGCAAATATTGCGATATGAATATCAATTCACCAGATGATTTGAAGAGCTCCATTTGGAAAGATTTCATTCTTTTAGATCGGATTAATTTAGATCAGTCTTTTTCTATGCAGCGCATCTGCATAAATTTTGCAGTTTAACTGTATTCAAGTACAGAAATTGAACAATCAAATGTAAAATAACATGGTAATTGTATAAATGATTAAAAATATATTAATATTTATCCTTTAATCTTTAATAAATATAATTCTGTGCGGACTATTGCAGATACACACATTGTGATATTTTTCAAGTTTAATGCTCATGTTGATTTATTCGTCCAATCGTGAGTTTTTTGGGTCTCTCACAATTCTGAGTCAGTTTCTTGAATTTCAATGTATATCTTGTGATTATGAAATTTCAAGTGTATAGGCTGTCTTGCAATTCATATTTTCTCTCAGAATTGTTACCTTTTTTTGCTGTTGTAAGTTCATAGAAAAAAACAATGTTGTTTAGTCAAATTACTTATTTTAAATGAGCCGAAACAACACATTTTTTTTAACAAACAGACATTTTTAAAGGACATGGAAACAAAAAAGACATACAAGTGTCAAAGGTCACTGAATACAATCTTATTTAAATTTGTATTTATTGTTGATAAAATGTTGCTATATAAAATTTTGTTAAGGGTTACGTGTCAAAGATCAACAGGCTCCAAACATATATAAAGTAAAAGCACCACAATGAAATTAAAACAATACATTTCTTCCCATTTACCCCTGTATGCAGAAATTTTTCAGGCTTGTTGTCTCAAGGTAAATTTCAGTAGAAACAACACAATTTTTGACTTTTTTTGGGGGGGGATAACTTATTGTTTTATGTTCAATCAACTTAAATTTGTAAAAACGTATATGTTAACTTAATTCCTTCATGTTGTCGCAACACAAATCGATTGTGTGGAACACAACATGTTTTTTACAGTGCTCGCTCATTCTCAGAATAGCATTTTGGTATTGTTTACAAACTCTATTCCAATTTTGACTTTACATCTCACAATTCTCACTTTATCTCAGAACTGCTAATTATTTCATGTAATTGCGAGTTTATAGGCCACTCAAATCAAATTTTTTGTTCTCAGCTCTGACAAATTAGTCAAAATTGTGACTTAAGAGTCTCACTTATTACATTTTTTTTTCTCAGAATAAAAATGACTATTTTATATAGTTCTGACTTTATTTGTTTTACTTGACAGATTATAGCTCTCTCAAATTTTTTCTTACTTTTTTCCTCAGATATTTTTCTTACACTTGACTTTTTAAAATTGACCATTAGCCAGAGGTGGGAGTAAGTCACACATGTGCAAGTCACAAGCAAGTTTCATGTCATAACCTTCAAGTCTCAAGCAAGTCAAGTCGAGTCGAGTCACTGCTTCAAGTCAAGTCGTAGCTTGGTCTAGCAAGTCACTTTCAAGTCAATCAAATTTTTGTCGATTTTCAAACTTTTGCAGTCTTTTATATACAGTTGAAGACAGAACGATCTTTAACAGAGCAAGGACATTTACACAGTACGTCTGATAATATTTTTTCTTACGGAGAAAGACTTATTTGTTATATTTTGGCTAGAATAAAAGGTCAAAATTATTAGCCCCTTTAAGCTTTTTTTCCGATAGTCTACAGAACAACCCATCGCTAACCCTAGTTAACCTAATGAACCTAGTTGAACCTTTAAATGTCACTTTAAGCTGTATAAAAGTGTCTTGAAAAATATCTAGTCAAATATTATTTGCTGTCATCATGGCAAACATAAAATAAATCAGTTATTAGAAATGAGTTATTAAAACTATTATGTTTAGAAATGTTGAAAAAATCTTCTCTACATTAAACAGAAATTGAGGAAAAAAATAAAGGGGGGCTAATAATTCTGACTTCAACTGTATATTAAACTCATTTGAAAAGACGCTTTCATCACTAGTCAATTAGATGTATTTCTGCTTGGGGGAATGTGTGTGCTTACTTCAAAGGCATTAAATATAATACTAATAATTAAACAAGACTCTAAATCACAAAACCAATATAATATTAGCATTTGCAAGCTTATAGGCTGTTTTGCAAGTTGCAATTCTAACTTTTTCTTAGAAATGAAGTAACTATTTGATGTAGTCTGGACTGGTCTAAACATCAAAAGTTTGACTAATTGTTTTAATTGCGAGTTTATAG